TATATGTTTTAGCATAAAAATATTTTTTCACAATTCTCAGTCTTTTTTTGTTTATATATATATAACATGGATCCTGTCTAAATTGGCCCTACTATGTGTATGTATGAATGTGAGTTGGGGACCTTAGATTGTACTTTCAGTTGTTGCAGAGAGAGCCATACAGGGGATCGTTTCCAGTAATTGGCCCCCCACCCTGCCATGCCAATCACCCTCCCTGCCCACATCAGATTCACCCAGCTGCCTGGGGCCCCCCTGCTGGCCAAAGCCCCGTACAGGAGGAATGGTGGTACCCCCCCTTATCCATGGCCCTGTGATGGAGGATAAGTGAAAGACAAGAAACATGTAGGAGGAGTTTTTAAAAGTAAAATGATGAAAACAATAAAGATAAAAAGAGAAGAATAATAAACAGACTGAATGTAGAACTTGTATAGGAATTCCGGAAAACAAATCTGCTGGTCGATGTTTCCGTCTAGTAATGATTGGTAGTAATCGGTGTCATTGTTCCTGAATTCAGATGTCATCAATGAACAGGGAGTAAGAGAAGTGGATTTTCTCAATACAAACATTAAAAAACTCCAAGTCCCCGGTCACACTGGGTGCGACTTAACATGCGATTTGCATGCCATACGACTAGCAAATCACATGGCAAGTGGCACCCTATTGCTCGCAATTACAGAGGTCATAAAAACATCAAAAACAGGCGCACCAGCCTAGTGCATTACCTCAATATTATTATATTTGAATAAAAAGTCGATGTGTACTCACAAAGGACATGAAATAAATGGCATGTCAATCAGACAATACATGGGAGAGACCTCATCCCCTGGACAAGTACTTTTTTGGGAATAGATGCTCCAAAAGGCTGACACGTTTTGAGGAGCAATCCTCTCTTCCTCAGAGCCAAGCCCATATTGTAAGTCACATGATTTCAAAGTCAGGATCGGTGTGACTGGGGTGTAAGGCCCCTCTCACACGGGGCGGATCCTGATCAGAGGGGTATCTGTCCGCTGATCCCCGCTGGGCAGGTGGATGACAGCTCCGTGTCGGCTCTGCATAAGACACATCCCGCCTGTTTTCCTCTATGGGCAGTCAGATGTAAACAGAGCACCTGTCCGCTTACACCTGACTGTCATCTGATCTGATCCGCCCAGACAGACGGGAACGTATCCCCCCCGAGGGGCCTTATGTTACACAGGATAGAAAATGGTACAAATTTCAGCATCACACTGGGCCCAAATAAAGGGAGACCTGTCCTCAGACCAGGGATGTGACTGATGAAGAGTCATCTCCGCTCTGCTATTTGTATATAATCCAGAAAGGAGAAGGAAAAAGAAAGAAAGAAAGAAAGAAAGAAAGAAAGAAAGAAAGAAAGAAAGGGGAAAAGGGGATAGAAAAGAAACAGAAAGGGAAAAGGAAAGGAGAAGAGAGGACAGGACAGGGCAGGAGAAGGAAGAACAGGAGAGGAGAGAGGAGAGGAGAGGAGAGAAGAGGAGAGGAGAGAAGAGAAGAGAGGAGAGGAGAGGGGAGAGGAGAGAGGGAAGAGGAGAAGGGAGGGGAGAGGAGAGGAGAGAGGGAAGAGGAGAAGGGAGGGGAGAGGAAAGAGGGAAGAGGAGAAGGGAGGGGAGAGAAGAGAAGAGGAGAGAGGGAAGAGGAGAAAGGGAGGGGAGAGGAGAGAGGACAAGAGAGAGGGAAGAGGGAGAAGGGAGGGGAGCATTCTATCCCTTCTTCCTGAATAAATGTTTAGGAGTTTTTAATGTAAAATTTTGAAAACAAAGTTACAAAGTGATCAATAATAATACGAATGAAGAATTCCGTAAATCAAATCTACTGGAAGATGTTTCAATTAATTAATGATTTGTATCAATGTTACTGAATAAATGAAATCAATAAACGGGTCAATCAATCAGAATCGTGGACTCACTGGACACCAACATCACAACCTCTCATTATCCGGGATATAAAATGTTACAATTCTCACATTGCACCCAAATATAGAGAGAAGCCGTCTTTCCTCCAACAATGTGACTAATAAAGAGTCTGTTCTGTTATGTTGTGTATAGTCTGGAGGTGTCTTCACCGGCCATGAATCTCCCATGATTCCCCCCACAATGCCCCCTGATTATACCAACATGTAGTCCTACCTGTCCCTGGAGCACCAGCCATGGTCTCTGGAGCACCAGCCATGGTCTCTGCGTTGTGTCTGCTTCCTCCAGTCCTGGCTCCCCTCTTATATGCTCATCTTCTTTCACTTTCCTCCTCTACCTATGTCAGTGGGAAATCCCACACCTTGCTTTCCTTAGAAGAGACTCCCCGCTCACACCTCTCCCCATAAATAGTGAACACAAAGAGTACAACACAAACACTGCAATCACTCTCAGAGTCATTATTCCATGACTGAGTTTGCTGAGAGCAGATCCGGGCACATATTTGTAGCTGGCGGGGCTGTGCTGATGCTGGGGTTAGCAGTCAGGGAGCCAAGTCCTACATCCAAAAATATAAAAAAAAATACATATCATATTGAGAAATGCTTAGTTAGGAAATGAAAATTGTAATATGATGAAGCCCACTACTAAAATGGCAGCACAGGAGGAGCTGAAGTTTCACTCTGGCTTTTGCTGCTCCATAAAGGACTTCTACACAGATACAGCCAGTGTTACTTCTGCCTCCATCCAGTAGAGGGCGCCCGGAGAACATGGATCACAAGAGAGGCTCTGAAGAATATTAGGGAGGATTGTGGGAAGTGTAGTTTGCAGGAGAGACTGAGCTGTGATGATTTACAGCACAAGCCGATCAGCGAATCCCAGCTAATGATTTCCATCCAGGACTCACTGATCAGTGAAGAGAAAGACAGGACAGAGCTCTGTGAATGTAAAAAACACATAGCTGAATGTTAACTGCTTGCCGTCCAGCCGCAGTGTTTATACTGCGGCAAGGCAGCACCGCTGCGCAGAATCACGTTTTTAAACGTCTGTCAGGAATGAACTTGTCAATAATGGTGGGACTCACCTGCCTTGTGGGCTGCAGTACCAGGGCTGGCCAGCGGGTGCTCTCAGCAATCAGAGACTCACCCCTGCAGTCAGCCAAACACCTGAAGCTGATTGCAGAGGTTGTATTTAAGGAATGGCCAGATTCACAGTCAGGGCCTTGGTGTGTGTTTTTCCATGGGCCCCTGTATCTTGTATCCTGTGTTCCTGTTCCTGCCTGACTTGTTGACGACCCTGCCTGATCCTGACCTCTGCTGACTTCTCCTGTTTGATCCCTGGCTTGTGACCCTGACCATTCTCTGCCTGACCCTCTGCACCGCGCTGCCCGTGAGTTACTGAAACCAGCTTGTGACCCCGACCACTCTCCCGCCTGTTCCTGGTACTCCGTTTGCCCGTTTGCTACTGACCCGGCCTGCCTGACAACCCTTGCATTGTATGTATTGTTATCTGTAGGTGGTTTGGTTTGTTTGCACTGTGTTTATGTTTAGTTTTGCACTGCGTTTTGTATTGTTAGTCTTAATAAATCATATTGTTTATACCATCTCTGAAGCCTGCGTTTCCCTGTGTCAGTCCACACACCTCTGGTCATACCCGGAGCCCTGACAACGTCTTTCCCGCTCCCGGTATTTTTGCGGGCAGGGGGAGTGCACGCACACCTCCACCAACCCGCGGGTGTCATGATTCGATCCCCGAGGGGTCAATCATGTTGACAGTTACACAGGACAGGATATGATGTAACTCATCTTTGCCTGACCACGTTCCGTTCCAGACAGAGAAGACATACAAATTGTTAGTAAAAAGCACTACACTTTCAGTAGAAACACACCTAGGACACATTTAACCCCCTGATCGCGCCCCCCCAGTTAACCCCTTCACTGCCCTGTCACCAGTGACATTGATTTCAGTGAACAGATTTTTACTGATCACTGTATCAGTGTCGCTGACGACTTTCGATAGTGTTAGCGCCCCTCCCAGATAGCGCCAGTTTGCCCGCTAGTACACCAGTAATCCCATTTAACCCCTTGACCACCCCCACCCAGTTAACCCCTTCACTGCCCTGTCACCAGTGTCATTGATTACAGTGAACAGATTTTTACTGATCACTGTATGAGTGTCGCTGGCGACTTCCAATAGTGTTAGCGTCAGTTAGCGCCCCTCCCAGATAGTGTCAGATTGCCCGCTAGTACACCAGTAATCCCATTTAACCAATTGATTGCCAAGAACACTCACTTGCACACTAAACCTCCATTGCTAGTATAGTGTCTGATTGCATCAATATCTTTGATCAGATCAGTGCTATACCAGCGTTCACAGATGCTCTTTATGCATTGATTCTGGATCAAAGCAATTTATATGCACGACAATTTATCCAACCCAAATTCCAACCTTGCCAGACCATTCGTATGGAAACCCATCACGGTTTCCGAATTTAAAGTTTTTTTGGGCCTAACCCTCAACATGGGCATTAATAAAAAAAATTAATTGCGGTTGTATTGGTCCACAGACCCAATTTATCATACAGTTGCAAGAAAAAGTATGTGAACCCCTTGGGATTACGTGGAGTTTTGCATGAATTGGGCATAAAATGTGCTCTGAACGTCATCTAAGTCACAACAATAGAAGAACACAGTCTGCTGAACATAATACTACACAAACATTAGATGTTGCCATGGTTTAATTGTACATAACACGTAAACATTCACAGTGCAGGGAGGAAAAAGTATGTGAGGCCCTAGCTTAATGACTTCTCCCAGAGCTAATTGGAGCCAGGAGTGAGCCAACCTTGACTCCAATCAGTGTGATGATTAGAGATGAGCGAAGTATTCAAAAATTCGATTCGACTGATTCGGCGAATTCGTGGAAAAAATTCGATTCGAGTCGAATATATTCGCTGCGATTTTAACTTATAAAAGGGTGTTTCTAGGCTTCAGAGAGCCTTTATATTAGTGCAGAACACTGTACCTTTAATTTAAATGCCCTTGGAGTCTGCTGGGGAAGAGAAATAATACTGTCAGTCAGTATGACATGCAGATGAGTGCCGTCGATCTTAGAATCACCGCACACTTCACTCATTTGGGCAGTCACGGGGCCAAAACCAGAGTGTGGAGCCACAGTGTGGCGGTGGAGGCAGCAGCAATGGGAGGCCATACAGCACCCTATGACAAAATGGAACCAACCAGCAGTGTGAGGAGACCTGAAAGTGGCACATGGCAGAGTGTGGCGATGGAGACAGCAGCAATGGGAGGCCGTACAGGGACCCACGCTGCTGGTGGAGCTGCCACTGCTCCTACCACCCCACCCCACCCCTCCCCTGCTGCCATGGCAGCGGAACGCGAGCGCACAGGGCCCACAGTGTCTGAGGATGGACGTTGGCGCAGAAAGGCAGAGACCAACTGACTACATAGGTGGTTTTTATAGTACTTTATTTTGGCCTCCCTCTCAGCAGGTGTGAAAAAGGCCACCATTTTTGAACGGTAGCGAGGGTCCAACAAGGTGGACAGCCAAAAGTCATCCCTCTGTCTGATGGTTATTATTCGGCTGTCGCTACGCAAGCAACCGAGCATGCTATGGGCCATTTGTGCCAAGGAATGCGAGGGACTCCCTGCCTCCATCTCCACAGCATACTGCCACGGTGCGTCTGGGTCCTCTGTCTCCTCCTCCTCCTCCTCTACCAGATGCTCCTGCTCCTCCACTCCTGTCCGCTGAGTGGAAAAAAACCACCCATTTCACTCAATAATTCCTGAGCACCAATGTCCTCCTCTACCTCCTCCTCTTCTTCCTGTCCTGCCCCCACAGGGGTCATGTGGCGTTGAGATCTGTGCGCCACGTCTACCGCACCCTGACCAGCCATTGTTAACAGCATTTGTTCCAGGACGTGCAACAGAGGAATGACGTCGTTCATCCATAGTCCTGCCGACTCACGAATAGCGTGGCCCTCCTCAAAGGGCCTGAGCAAGCGGCAGGTGTCACGCATGAGCTGCCAATGGCTGACATCTAAGTTACACAGGGGAGTACCTTTATCCGCTTGTAACATCAGGAAATCGGTGATGGCCTTTTGCTGTTCGTAAAGGCGGTCTAACATATGCAGGGTTGAATTCCACCTTGTTGCAACGTCACAGCATGAGGAGTCGGTACGGGGGCCATGGCAGATTAGGGGCCTGGCCGCAGCAATGTGAGGCCCGTAATCTGCCAGCACCCTATGACAAAATGGAACCCAGCAGCAGTGTGAGGACACCTGAAAGTGGCACATGGCATGAGTGTGGCACTGTGGACCTGGCAGGCAGCATGAGGAGGCGGTGAGGAGGCGGGACGTTATACAGGGGCCCATGGCAGATTAGGGGCCTGGCTGCAGCAATGTGAGGCCCGTAATCTGCCAGCATCCTATGACAAAATGGAATCCCAGCAGGAGTGTGAGGACACCTGAAAGTGGCACATGGCATGACACACTGTGGACCTGGCAGCAGCATGAGGAGGCGGTACAGGGGCCCATGGCAGATTAGGGGCCTGGCCGCAGCAATGGGAGACGCCCCGTAATCTGCCAGCATCCTATGACAAAATGGAATCCAGCAGCAGTGTGAGGAGGACCTGAAAGTGGCACATGGCAGAGTGTGGCGATGGAGACAGCAGCAATGGGAGGCGGTACAGGGACCCATGACACACTGTGGACCTGGCAGCAGCGTGAGGAGGGCGGTACAGGGGCCCATGTCACATTAGGGGCCTGGCCGCAGCAATGTGAGGCCCGTAATCTGCCAGCATCCTATGACAAAATGGAATCCAGCAGGAGTGTGAGGAGACCTGAAAGTGGCACATGGCATGACACACTGTGGACCTGGCAGCAGCATGAGGAGGCGGTACAGGGGCCCATGGCACATTAGGGGCCTGGCCGCAGCAATGGGAGACGCCCGTAATCTTCCAGCATCCTATGACAAAATGGAACCCAGCAGCAGTGTGAGGAGAAACCTGAAAGTGGCACATGGCAAGTGTGTGGCGATGGAGACAGCAGCAATGGGAGGCGGTACAGGGACCCATGACACACTGTGGACCCTGGCAGCAGCGTGTGAGGAGGCGGTACAGGGGCCCATGGCAGATTAGGGGCCTGGCCGCAGCAATGTGAGGCCCGTAATCTGCCAGCATCCTATGACAAAATGGAACCCAGCAGGAGTGTGAGGAGACCTGAAAGTGGCACATGGCATGACACACTGTGGACCTGGCAGCAGCATGAGGAGGCGGTACAGGGGCCCATGGCAGATTAGGGGCCTGGCCGCAGCAATGGGAGACGCCCGTAATCTGCCAGCATCCTATGACAAAATGGAATCCAGCAGGAGTGTGAGGACACCTGAAAGTGGCACATGGCAGAGTGTGGCGATGGAGACAGCAGCAATGGGGGAGGCGGTACAGGGACCCATGACACACTGTGGACCTGGCAGCAGCGTGAGGAGGCAGTACAGGGGCCCATGGCAGATTAGGGGCCTGGCCGCAGCAATGTGAGGCCCGTAATCTGCCAGCATCCTATGACAAAATGGAATCCAGCAGGAGTGTGAGGAGACCTGAAAGTGGCACATGGCATGACACACTGTGGACCTGGCAGCAGCATGAGGAGGCGGGTACAGGGGCCCATGGCAGATTAGGGGCCTGGCCGCAGCAATGTGGAGGCCCGTAATCTGCCAGCATCCTATGACAAAATGGAACCCAGCAGCAGTGTGAGGACACCTGAAAGTGGCACATGGCATGACACACTGTGGGACCTGGCAGCAAGCAGCATGAGGAGGCGGTACAGGGGCCCATGGCACATTAGGGGCCTGGCCGCAGCAATGGGAGACGCCCGTAATCTGCCAGCATCCTATGACAAAATGGAATCCAGCAGGAGTGTGAGGACACCTGAAAGTGGCACATGGCAGAGAGTGGCGATGGAGACAGCAGCAATGGGAGGCCGTACAGGGACCCATGAGACACTGTGGACCTGGCAGCAGCGTGAGGAGGCGGCGGTACAGGGGCCCATGGCAGATTAGGGGCCTGGCCGCAGCAATGGGAGGCCCGTAATCTGCCAGCATCCTATGACAAAAATGGAATCCAGCAGCAGTGTGAGGAGACCTGAAAGTGGCACATGGCAGAGTGTGGGCGATGGAGACAGCAGCAATGGGAGGCGGTACAGGGACCCATGACACACTGTGGACCTGGCAGCAGCGTGAGGAGGCGGTACAGGGGCCCATGGCACATTAGGGGCCTGGCCGCAGCAGCAATTGAGGCCCGTAATCTGCCAGCATCCTATGACAAAATGGAACCCAGCAGCAGTGTGAGGACACCTGAAAGTGCACATGGCATGACACACTGTGGAACCTGGCAGCA